AAAAAAAAGCAACAGAGACTTGCATATTCTGGGCCAAAGTGGAAGAGTAGAGTACAATTGTTTTGCACGCGCCAGTGATGTTTGGTCTTTCGCTCTGGATTCTACTTGTTCCTCCTGCCTGTTTGCGTTCTGCGTATTCCCTCCAAGTAAGTAAAGGTGTAAGTGACGCGCTCCCACTGTGTTGGTCTTGACAGACGGAGGGCAAAGTGGTGATGACCGCTGATTCCTGCTCGACGTGCTGCGCAGTTTTCTCCATTCTGGGTATTGTCCACCTCCTCCTGTTTGGCGGCATGTTTCGCTCACGCGCAGTTTCGTTCCACATCACAAGTGTAGAAAATGGCTGGGACATCGATGAGAAGGCACGTGCCTGCTTCAACGGCGCTATTTTCTACGGTCTGACGCTTTTTGTATCGGTCGTGGCGCGCATATATATACGGCGAAGTGCGGCCGCGAAGCAGGCACTGCTGGAGGAGCAGCGACGCCGCGAGCTGGCGGAGATGTCGGTGAAGTAGAGCGGTGAAGTGGCAGGCCCGCCGTTCTCTTGTCTCCCGTCGTCGTTGTGGGCACCTCGAGGGTTTTCTTTTTCCAACGGGAAAGGGCGCCATGGACGGTGCGCCCAGCATTATGTCTCTGCGGAAAGGAAACGAGGAGGAGATTGGAAGGGGAAAGCTGGCTCTAATTGTGTGTTTGTTCGTTTGTGGGTGCGTAATCGTTGTGTGAGAGGGAAATGACTGGAGAATAGCCTAATGACGAAGACAAAATGAGCGAACAGGTGGTGAACTCTGCTCTACAGAGACCTCATTTCCGCTTTTGTCCCTGTTACTGCTAAGTCATCCGTGCTTCTTCAATGTAGTTGCTACTTTTCTGATGGGAACTCTCGTGGATGCTGAGGTGGTGGCTCTTGCTGCTATTAGTGGGCCTTCCCTGCAGTTTTTTTTTTTTGTTCTGCTCCATTGGCTTTTCTTTTTTTGCGCGTGAAAGGGAAAGGCAAGTAGAAGAAACGCTTGCAGTAAGCTGGTGCGCGGCACATAGGGGAAGACAAACGTCGCTACTAGAATAGTATACGCAATGGACCAGTTTAAGCAGCCATTGGAGGGCATCTTCCGCGACGGTATCCCTGCACCGGTTCTTCGCGCCTTTGCGCCGCTGTACCAGGCTCTTCCGTCGCTCCAAGATGCCGTTACATCCAGCCGTGACTGTTACTACTGGCGTGCGAATCCTCTCAAATGTGTAGACGAAGATGTGCAAACCGTAACAGCATTTATGCAGGCGAGTGAAGCTTCATTCCGCCTCTGCCCGCAGCAAAGCGCCACCCTGCTCAAGTGTCATATGACGGAACCCGCCAAGGCGCTCTTCTTTTGCCGTGACGAAGAGTGGGAGTGGCGCACATGTCTGATGGACCAGACTGGCATTCGCTTCTGGCCCTACGCCAACGCCCCAGTGGGTGCTCCGTGGAGTAATGGCGGCCAAACCGAAGACTTCCATCTCGAAGACCGGTTCTTTTACGAAAATTTTTCTTGGTGGAGGCGCAAGGCGTCGATGCTTGCAGTGCGGCAGCGCGAGCTAGAGGTGCAGTCCCAGCGGAAACACTGGCTAGACGAGCAGAAGCAAAGTAGTAGCGCAGACTCGGCGCAATCGCTACTGCCGCCTAAACCGACCCTTGCCCCTATAGGAATTGACACAAACATCAATTAGCGAGGATAGTGACAAAGGGATATTAAGTAGCTGCACGTGGGGTATCGGAGAAACGGTGGCAGAATGCAACCGAAAAGTAGTGGATTCGTGTGAATCACACACACAAAATGTGGGGGTGAAATGGGAACTGGGGAAAAGGTCTTGGGGATTGATGTAGTAGTGAGTCTCTGAAGTAGTGAAGGGAAGAGCAACGACAATAGTGCAAAGGGAGAAAGAAATGTGCCAGTTTTTATTGCTTGCTTGCCCTAGGCTTGCGTGGGGTGCTCTTTGCGAAGGTCCCCCGTTGTTGTTCTTGTGGCGTGTTTATTGGTATTGTATGACTCCCCAGTACGAGGGAATTGGATGCGGGAGCGTTTGAGGAATACCTGTGGATCCACTTCCACACATTCACACACAGTATGAAGGGAACGTGTCTCTTTTAATGGTGATATTGACGGTGCACACTGTTTCCTTCTCATTCCTTTTTTGCTTTGCCACAAAAGGGGAAGGGTTGACGACACCGCTCTCTGCTTCCTAAACCTTAGAGGGGGTTTTGGTTGGTTTGTTTTTATTCAGGTTTGTCTTGTGGGACTACGCGCACTTACGTTCGGATAACAGCCAACCCTTATAGTCTACTGTTACTGTCTTAGACGGGGCATATACCGTGAAGCGTATACATATTCGAATACAAGTACGCTACATATATATACAGAGAGAGAGAGAGAGAGATAGTGTGTGTGTGTGTGTGTGTGTGTGTGTGTGAGAAAGAGAGAGCCCAAGTGGCTTTGATTTCGTGTAGATGTCGGTGATGAACCTATCCCCATCGGCTGCAAGAGTTTTGACCGGCAGACTTCATTCCCCAGTGGGTGTCGTCGTGGAGGAAACGTCGCCGTCCCCCGTGGAGCCGCGCCCCCGCTCCGCCTCCTTTAGTGCCAGCAAAGGATTTCCATCTGTTGTTCTTGCGGGTCCGTCGCCGCCGTCTTCGTCGTCGGCGGCGTCGCAGCACGGAAGTGGGCCGGAGTTCTTCGCTGACGATACCAGTGTCAGCGAGGCGGAGCGCGCGTGGGCGTCGCGGCAGCAGAGGGGTGGCGGAGAGCAGGCACGGCTGGGCCAGGGCGGCATCCTGCAACCCATGGAGGCGCGGACCCCAAAGGAAGGGACCGTAACGGAAAGGACGTCCCCGACGTGTATGAGTAACTGCCCGCGCAGTCCAAGCAGCGCCGCCGGAAGGTACGAGGAGGCGATGGAGGCACAGACAGGGCCTGGGAACTTCTCTCCAACGTGCTTCTACAGCAATGGCTCCATAGCTCCTAATGACGTGGGTGCCGGGAGGAGCCACAGCATGGTAGTGTGGAATGAGGTGGATGGGGCCCATCTCGTCGGTATCAGTGACGATCTTCCGGTGGTGGAAGATGACTCATGGGCGAAAAAAGAAAAGAATACACCTGTTGTAGCTGTGACTCCATCGAAATCGCCCAGTTTGCAATTGTTTGCAAATCGCACCAACGAGTCGTGCATACAATACGGAAAGCCAAAGGCTCTGCTTGCACCGGTTGGCATCAACACGAGCCACAGCAGCGAGTCGCAACAGTGTGCTATACATTACCGAAAGGACATTTTCTCATCCACCATAGCAGGGGGAGGAGATGAGTTGCCGCGCGTCCAGAAGTCCCCTCTCTCCTTTATTGTGACAACGGGGGGTTCGGCTAGCGGGCGTAAGACGCGAGGTATGCGCAATGGAAGTGAGTTTGATACAACGGAAAGACGTGGTATCTTGCATGACAATGCGCAGCGCCGTGGCGAGGCCGGGGAAGAGCCGGTACTGCTTAGTGCGGTTCTTGATCGTGGCTGGGGATCCATGTGCGAAGAGGATGTCGCGTTTTGGAAGCGTCGCTGCATTCTGGCAGAGCAAAAACTTGCTGTTGCTGTTCAACGCATTAGTGAGCACTTCTCTTCTACGGCTGCAACGGCAGGGTCGCAGTCGTGCACATCCTCGCCCCCGGAGGAAAAAGAATCTTCAAACTGCACCACACTAGTCTCCGAGGTGGGGCTGGGGAATAAACATCTCCGGAAGGCGCCGCCACAGAACCAGGTGGAATCTGTGAGGCTTTGGGAGGGAAATGGAGAAATGAAGGCGACAAGCAACACAGTGACCACACGAGGCGCAACCAGCGGTGCTGTTGTGCCGAAAAACAGACCCAAAAAGGTGGTCGAGTCAAAAATAGACAATGAGAGGACGGAGCTAGAAAATTTGGTGACACGCCTGCGCCTCGAACGCGACACACTCAAGGATGAGTTGAATAAACAAACTGTCCGCAACGAGGACTTGGAAACTCGTCTTCTTGCGAAGGAGGAGCAACAGGAGGCCCAGCGAGAGGAGTGGCTCACGCAAAAGGAGAAACTCAGGGAGAAGCAGGAACAGCTGGCGGTCGCGCTGCGCCAGGCCCACCTTAACGTCTCCAGCACGGCAGAGCAGATTGGGCAGAGGGAGGAGGAGTTACAGACTGCCCGGACACTACGGTGTGCTGCTGAAGCCGAGCTGGCGGCGGTCAATAAGGAGTTGCGGGAGATGAAGAAAACAAATGAACGACAATTAGAGGATGGTCGGAAACTGCAGATGCAGCTGAAGCAACTTGAGGCTGATAATCAGTCATACGGTAGCAAGAACGTCACAGAGACCAGTAAGAATGACAGCAGGGATTATGTCATTTTGAGGGGTGCCTTGCTTGAGCGCACGGAACAGCAGCTGCAACGTGTGTTGGCTGCGTTGCAGCGCGGCGAGGCACGCAGAACATGGGTTGCATCACAGCTTTCAGAGGTGATGAAGTGTGTGAATGCGACATGGACGGAAAAAGAAGACTTTTTGTCTGTCGAGACAAAGGTGCAGCAGCTTGTGCACTCACTGGAGGCGCTTGTTGGATCAAGGATGAAAGTAACAAACGACGGGTGGGAAACTCCGACAATTGAAGACGTGACGTGTGATAAACCATTGATGACCACAGGCGCCGACTGCAGTGCCGCAGACCTCCTCAGTCTTGCGCAAGAAGGTGTCTCTCGCCTGGAATTGTGGTCAGATGCATTCCAGCAGCGTTATTTTGAGCTAAAGGAGGAGCTCAAAGTTGTTCGAGCGGATCGCAACGAGCTTGTAGGGCAACAAAGCCAACGGGTACGGAATTTGCAACAACAGCTATTGACTGCGGAACAGGAGGTGACACGTCTTATGCTATCCATTGGAGAACGCGACGAGACGATCCGGCGAATGAAGGAGGAAAGTCGTGTGGTGATGCCTAGCCAAGAGCCCACATCAACGGTGGCGCCGCCGTCACGGGGTGCAGAGTTGCAGGCCGCAAGGGAGAAGATTGCCGCCATGCAGGCCGCTCACCGCGTCGACCTGGAGCGAGTCGTGGAGCACATGGGACAGCAGGCAGAGGAGTTTGGTCGCACACTACAGGCCGCGCGTGAGGAGGCGATGGAGATGATGATGAGTTCGCAAAGGGAAGAACTTGAGCTAGCGGAGAGGCGTAATTCCGCGATGCAGGAGCAACTGCAACGCCTCCGCGAGGAGCGTGAGATGAATCGGCGCGTCCAGGACGAGTGTCTGGGCGCACTGCGTTCGCAGCTCAACAAGACGCGAGGTGAACTCGCTGCGAAGGAAGGCGCTCTGCGAATCGCTCTGCAAGTCCAACTGGGACAGAGCGAAAGGTGGCGCCAACAGCTATCTAATGAGCGGGAGGTACACACACCAGAGGCGTTGGTGGTATCGCCCACAACACCTGGTCCGATCGTGACATCAATTCCGTCATTGACCAATGACAAACGCAACGAAGGCACTCCACTGGAGCCTGCTGAGGAGCTGCTTGTTCCTGAAACCCGGCGGCCTGGTGCCATTTTGGCTTGCGAAGAAGCAGAACCGTCCCGACCTACCGTGAGGGGTCCCTCTGCGCGACGGACAGTGACGTTTTCACCAGATGTTATATTTGTAGAGGATCATCAAACCTACTCTACCTCCTCCTCGTCGGGTGGCCTGGCCTCACGATCCCCGTCCTCCAGCGGTTCCTCCGCTTCGTCACCGGGGGCGGACTCCGGTGAGCGCCACGACAGTGGCCACGTCATCCATCGAGGCGTGATGCGCAGGCACCAGGAGGTGTGGATGCAACAAGCAGAGCTGATGGGAATACCACCTGGGGAAGAATAGCCTTCCCTGCTTGGTGCATGCATGTGACCTTTTGTCGTTTGTTGTGCGTTTATTGGGTTTTTTTTTCTTTGTTTTGTTCGCATACAAGGACGTGAAAGTTAGTTTCTGTACTGTAGCGAAATGCAATGAAATGTTGAGAAGTGTGTATAGAATTAGAATCACAGTTTCCACCACGGTGCAGCGTTGTCTGTAAAGTGGTACGTCGCTACGATGCGCGGCCTTCTGCAAATGTGTTTTATTTGTCTTACTACTCAGGTGCCCCCGCGGTTGAGGTACTGCCCCGATTCCATTCTTATCGCTTATCCATGGCTCTATAAATGGGTGAGGGAGTTGATAATCATAGACGCACAATTGGTTGTTTGATGTACGCTTGAGGTTGTGAATCCCTTTCAGTTAAATGATCTTGGGAAAGCAATTCTGTGTATAAATGATTTTTTACTCCGATTTTTTTTGTTTTTGGGTGTTGCTTTGATGAATAGTGGTGGGGCGGACGAATTGCCATGCGGCGAGCCGTGAGGTGGTGCTGGCACTCGCTTGTGGCGTCTCCTCAGAGGTACAGTGGCGGCTGTCGCTACATCCATCATCCATTGGTGGGTGACCAGCGTGGCAGAAACCAGGCGAACATTGGCACAACTGCACCAGAGAGATCTCCGGCAACTGTGACGCTGAATGCATTGTCAATCGCAGTTCGTCGCTTCCTAGAGCATTCGCCAGGTCGTTGGTGGGAGGCGTCTGGTGGCATGGACACACTTTTTACAATTCTTCTTGACCAGCAGTACACGAAAAAAGAAGGGGAAAGTGGCGCGCTGCATCCACTCCTTTGTGTGGAGATTATGAGGAAGCTGGGGTGCAGTGTATGGGTTAACACCACTACCAGCAGCAGCAGCAGTAGTGACGGTTGCGGCGGGTGGGCGCGACGTTCCGGCCTGTCGGCGGAGGCCATCGGAAAACTTGCGAAGTGCGTGCTGCAGCCACTGCTCCCCCACTCCCTCACGCACCCAATGGTTCGGCCTCTCCTTCCCGTGATGGTGGAGTGGTTGACCTGCATTTCTGACTTCCCACTCCACCTCTGGCTGCCGCAGCTCTCGCTCTACCTCGACGACCTCACCGTGGTAAGCACTGAAGACGCTTCTGGCAAAGGCCCTCCACCAGAGTTTTTGTTGCGGTACCTGGCCCAAAAAATCCCGCGGGTCAGTGCGGCGGAAGACCCATTATGTCAAACACCGCAGGAAGTTGAGCAAGCGCTTGACAAGATGTTGCAACTCCTTGTACAGAGGCAAGGTAAACCTCCGTGTTCAGAGGGGACTCCGCAGAACGTCTCACCTTCTCTTGCTGTGGCAGATGAAGGTCTATCTGAGTGCCTTTTTTGGCAAGGTGAGACCCCTTTGCTCCTGCACGAGTCCATTCGTGAGGCATACGGGCGTATGTATCATGCCCAAAGGCATCTGGAGGATGGGGCTGGTGGAGGGGAAGTTTGTGTAGGACGTGAACTTCACACCGTGTTTCCGCTGCCGATTTTGGACGACGACACATTTCGCCGTTTTCTTCTGCGTCTGCTTGCGCTCTCCGCATATTCTGAGTCAGAAAAAGTTGCAGAGGTTCCCTTCAACCGCGTGGTGTTGGTTGAGCCTATCCTGCGGCTGGAAGACACATCACTCGTCCTGCGCCTCATTACGCCGCTCTCGGAGTTTGTGACGGCTATAACTGATAACCGTTTCTCTTCCCCCCTATGTCTTTCGTTTACTGGGATTTCGACGGTTATTTACCATGCAATTGGCGAATTGCAACGTCTGCAGAAGTGCCCGAACCGTCATCGCTACGCGTTGTTGCCTCACAAGCCGCGCATTCACACTCTCAAAGCGCTCTGTGAGGGGCTGCTGAGCGATGTGCAACGGAAGCAGCAACAGAAGGAAAATCAACCACACAATACCAAAAGTGCCACTTTTCCTGGAGTACCATTGCTGCATCAGGTGCAAGTACTTCAGTCGTTCTGCCGTGCAACGCGGCGTCTTGTGGGGGTGGTGATGACACAGAAGACTACCAGTCTTCTTGAAGAAGGGCCCGAGGGGTCTGCATTGCATGCGGGAGGCGCTAAGCCAAGGCATGGTGACCTGACGGCTATCCTCCGAAACACCGCCTACCGTGTGCTGGAGACGTCTCTTCTGCGATACTACAAGGCTCTTGATGAATGGTCAACGTTGCCGTCCTTGGGAGCTGACGATGACAGCAACGACCCTGTGGCGGTTGCAGTGGCGGAAATTAAACACCACACAGACGGCCGCGCAACACTCTTTACCGCGCGGCATCTGTTGCAACACCCAATGCGTCAAGACGTGACGGCCGTCGTGGAGGGGCTTCGACTCGTGGCGATACAGGCGTTAGTGCTGCACTCGCAACACTGCGAGGAGTGGCTCATGGGGAATTACAACACGGCCGTCGCAGGCGCCTTTTTCGCTGTGTGGCATCGGGTAATGGAGCGCGTTACCATGACGCCGACAGAAGAGGCGGAGCAGGAGAAAGAGGAGTCACATGCCATACTGCGAGAAACGCAACGCAGCATGTGTGGGAGGTTGCTGTGGACAATGCTACTGTTACACCAACGTTATTGTTCATGCTGTGCATCTCGAACGGCACATTTAGAAGTGGGCGGCAGAGCCGCTTTAAGCTGTGTTTTGCTCCGTTCACTGCTGGAGCTGCTTACGTCATGTAATACATGCACGGAACTCGCAAGTTTTGGCTGGCCCCTTCCTCTTTACGGTGCGGACGCCACCAATGCGAAAGAGAAGGAGGAGGAGGAGTGGCAGCGTGATGTGGATTATCTGTGGACGAGGCAAATTGTGTACCCACCGTCGGAAACTCTTATTTGCGGTTGTAGTGCGAAATGGGAACTGCAGGAAGAGTTATCGTTTCTGACTAGCGGCAAGAGTGGCACCTGGCGGTGGCTGGGAACGACGAGGGCCGTGCGCGACGCGGTGGTGGATGCGGAGCGTGGTGTGCGCTATGATGGGTACCTTCTCCCATGGTCAACAGTAGCGCACAGCCGTCACCCGTTGCGGTTTTACGATGAAAGTGGCGAGTCTGTTGCTGCTGCATTGGCGTTTGATGCTGTTGTTGAGTCACTGCTGCTCCGGCTGAAAGGCATCGTTCCGGTGCTCCGCGTGGTTAGTATTGCGGAGGAAGCGATGTTCTTTCGCGACATGACGTGTACTCTGGAGCTGCCGTTGGGCTCTGGAGTCGTGGTTGCATGCCCTGAGGCGCTTCAGCGGAAGCAGAGGCCAAACAAAGGCGTTGTTGGTTTCGCGAGAGGTGAAGAAAATGATGCCGATGCTGGCGGCGGCGATGACGACGACGACGACGACTGTCTCGATTAAGGACTGAACGCATGTCTTGTCGTAATAGGGCGCCACTTGCTCACCCTTATTTACTTTTAACGAGAATATAATCCTCCACAGGGGCGTCACCATATTCTTCTTTCTATTCACTCGCTAGGTGTTGAAAGGAGAGAGGAAGTAGGGAAGATGTTGCGTCTCTCGATTGCACTTCGTCATAAGATACGAGATCGCGGTGGAAACATGCATAACTTTGCGTTCGACACCATGACGAAGGTGTATCGGGATGCGATGTATACCAGTGACAAGAGGTATGCCGGGAACCCCATGTATCCGGAACATGACAAGGCTAGCGTCACCGGTGCTGCTCTCGCTGGAACTTCTGTACTTCCACAGGAGTCCCTGCAGGCACAGCCAGAAAGAAATACCGCAACGACCGGCAGTAACTCTTCTACATCTCCAGTAGATGGCATGCGCCGGGCCCCGAGGCGCAGCGGGGTGCAGTTGGAAATCTTAGGCCTCTATCGTGATCTTCTGAGGGAGACTCGGCGGATGGAGGACCCGCAGACACGGGAAAATCTACGTCGGTTTATTCGTGCCGAGTTCAGCGCAAATAGCGACATTCCACGCAAGTTTGTCACACGCATCGAGTGGCAGCTCCACCATGGGAGGAACAAGCTTGAGGAATTGCGCGGCATGCGATCAGACACAAAGTTCTCCTTTATGCGGTAATGTTGTGGTGTTGCTGGGGAGAGGGAGTGTGGCCAATTGGGTGAAAGGAGAGGGAGAGAGAAAAGGAGGGACAGAGGGCCTTTGCACCTCTGCAGTATATCCTTTCTCTATCACTTTCTTGTATTGCTCGTAATTTTTCTGTTGCGGAAGTGCTGCACACATTCACATAGACACGTACACTAACCCTAAGTCGAGAGTGCGTTGTCATTTTACTTATATTTAGGTGTGCATTGGGTTTTTTTTCTTGGTGTAGAGCTCAAGACGACGCTGTTAATGAAACGAGCTCGTGGCGTTCTGCTCCCATCAGTGCTGCAGCATTGGTGTGCGTTGGCGCGCAGCTCAAAGAGAGGGGCGCCTCTGCAGTTTGTTGCTGCCGCTATCAGTGGTCCATGTGCTCTTCACTGCGTGACACGGTGCCACTACCATGACTCCTACCACTGCACCTCTTGGGAGACGCGTAGTAGCGGTAAAGACACTTCCTCCGGCTTGTCCTCTTCTTCTTACCCCAACACAGAACAGGCGATCAAGGCCATCTCAAACATGTCATCGAGCGATTGTAAGGGTGAGGCGGAGATGCTGGCGGTCCTCCAGGCGCTGCACATGGACCTCCCCACCATCTCCCACGAGGACAAGCACACCGTGGAGGAGGCAAACAAGGAACTGGATCGATTTGGTACACCGTGCGTTGGCACCAAGAACATGTTCCTCAAGAGCAAAAAGGACGAGTTGGTGCTCGTAACAGCGCTGCACAACACCAAGACGAACATGAAGACGGTGCAAAGCGCATTAAATATCAAGGACCTCCGTTTCGCATCTGATGACATTCTGCGCGAAAACATGGGTGTTGTGAAGGGAAGTGTCACGCCATTGGCGCTCGTAAATGACACGTCAAAGAAAATCAAAGTGGTCCTGGACAAGGCGCTGATAGAAAGTCCCATTCCTGTTGTTCTGCATCCATGCCGTAATGACAAGAGCTCTCTAATAACGCCAAGGCAGCTACAGGATTTTTTGACCAAGCTTGAGTACACCTTTGTCGTGGTGGATTTCGCTGAGGAAGCCGCTTCTGGGCAGCCCGCTCCTACTGATAACGTGAAGGCGAAATCGGCACCCCCTAAACAGGGAACAGGGAAAAAGTCGTCTGCGACCGCTGCTGACACCGCTGATGCCTCAGGTGAAACAAAGTTGGGCATCATGGTGAAACGCGATGAGAACTTCTCGCAGTGGTACACTGAAGTGATCACCAAGGCGGAGATGATTGAGTATTATGATGTCTCAGGTTGCTACATCATTCGCCCGTGGGCCTACTTCATCTGGAGCCGCATCCAAAAATTCCTTGGCGGCCGTATCGAACAAATGGGCGTCGAAGACTGCTACTTCCCCATGTTTGTATCCAAAACATGCCTAGAACGGGAGAAGGACCACATTGAAGGTTTTGCGCCAGAAGTTGCGTGGGTAACAAAGGCTGGTGAAAAGGATCTTGAGGTGCCGGTCGCGATCCGCCCAACCAGTGAGACTGTCATGTACCCGTACTATGCCAAGTGGATTCGCTCACACCGCGATCTACCGCTACGACTGAATATGTGGAACAACGTTATCCGTTGGGAATTCTCACATCCCACGCCGTTCATCCGCACCCGCGAGTTCCTCTGGCAGGAGGGGCATTGTGCGTGGGCTACGGCTGAAGAGTGTGGGCGCGAGGTGCTGGAAGTCCTTGATAACTATGCCGCTGTCTACGAACAGCTTCTTGCTGTTCCAGTTGTGAAGGGTAAGAAGACGGAGAAGGAGAAGTTTGCCGGTGGCTACTACACCACGACTGTGGAGACATATATCGCTGCAGTGGGACGTGGCTGCCAGGGCGCGACAAGCCACAACCTTGGTCAGAACTTCGGTAAAATGTTCGATATTAAGTTCCAAGATCCAGAAAAGAATGATGGCTCCACCTTGATACCGTGGCAGAACTCCTGGGGACTGTCGACCCGAGTTATTGGTGTCATGATAATGGTGCACGGCGACGATCGCGGCATGGTGCTGCCGCCTCCCGTCGCCTCTGTCCAAGTTGTCATCATCCCTGTGGGCATCACGAAGGACACCACCGAACAAGAGCGCGTGGAGTTGCTTGAAAGCTGCAAGACCCTCGAAAAGGAGTTGGTGAGCGGTGGCATTCGTGCCAAGTCAGACCTGCGTGACAACTACAGCCCGGGGTGGCGTTTCAACCACTGGGAAGTGAAGGGGGTCCCAGTGCGTGTGGAGCTAGGACCGAGAGAGTTGGCGTCGCGGAAGCTTTCCCTTGTGCTGCGGTGCAATGGAAGCCGCCGCACTGTTACGTGGGATACTCAGCTGAGCAGCAACTTGTTGGCCCTCATGGAAGAAATTCACAACACCATGCTCTCGAAGGCTATAAAAGAGCGCCAGGAAAACACGAAACAGTTAACAGAGTGGAAGGACTTCACCCCCGCACTAAACAAGAAGGCCTTGGTGCTGGCGCCGTGGTGCGGCGAGATGTCCTGCGAGGACCAGGTAAAGAAGGATACCGCAGAGGAGTCCAAGGCGATGCAAAGCGAAGATGTGCGCGAAGACGAACGGGCTCCCAGTATGGGTGCGAAGACGCTCTGTATTCCGTTCGACCAGCCTGGGCCCATCGAGGGCAAGACCTGTATCTGCAAGAGCTGCGACAGGCCGGCGAAGGAGTGGGTGCTCTTTGGACGCAGTTACTAAGAAAAAAATCCAGAGGTTAAAGGCTGAAATGCGCTCCGAACGATACGCTGTTCTTTTCTTGTCGCTGGCCACGGCTTTGCTCTCTTTTTTTTTTTGTTGTTGTTGTTCTTCTGCCTCTGTCCGTGCGCTCCGAGGAAAAAAAGATAATAATGGGTGATGGGGGGTGCCGAGGGACACCTCAATGCCCGCATTTTGTTTCATTGACGAATGCAGGCGAGGGGTGGGTGGCACGGCCCGAGGGCCGGTGCACGGAGCAACAGGAACACTGAAGAAAGGGGAGGAAGTAAGAGTAACAAAGACAGAACGACAAAAAAAAAACAAAACGACACCAAAGTTGGCAACGACAACAACAACAACAAGAGATGCAATCGGCAGAGAAACACAAAACTTATCACCGGGATTGTAAAGAAGACTAAGGTCTCTTTATTAAAGAACATGAAAAAGAACAACGACATCCACAGCAACAACAACAAAAAAAAAAAGAAACTACAATAAATATATTATATATATTTGCTCAATCTCACTGTTACTTCGGATGCGTTTCGTTGCTGTTGAGTCGATCGCTCTTTGGCCTCCGCATGTTGCCCGTCAAGCTAAGTGAAGGGTACCTCTACAGATAAGCACACAGGCAGGTGATTACACCTACACATCGTAACGACAAAAAAAAAATCAACAACAGCAAAATAAAACAAAAAACACACACACATACGTACAAATATAAGGTCTCCGTTTCACTGATAGGTTGCTTTCTTATTACGCTTGCTCTGCTTGCATTTGCTCTTTCCATCACGGGAAGAGGAGAAGGTGCATAATTTTGTGCATCTCTTATTGTCGGGCGAACAGGCATTGCTTTTCGTCTAGCGNGGAAGAGGAGAAGGTGCATAATTTTGTGCATCTCTTATTGTCGGGCGAACAGGCATTGCTTTTCGTCTAGCGAAGAGCCCTGGCAGAAGCGGCCCGCGTCAGATACGAATTTGGGTTGACAGACTAGCCCAACAACAGACGTGTGAAAACACGAGCAAAACAAAATGAACACCGAGCCAAAGGAGGAGAAGGACACGACACTGTCGGAGCGTATTCGACAATTGCACCGGCGTATCGAGCGTGCGAAGCCGATTTTCAACCAGCATGAGAGAGGGGAACTGTGTGTGATGAACGATGACCAGCGGCGGCAAGTGAACATGTACCCGATGTGGCTCGAGGACCTCAAAGAGCTGAGGCAGGGTCGCTTGCCACCCGTGCGCACGTATCAGCCCCCAAAGGAGGAATTCACCACACATATCGAAAACACGAAGACGATGACAGACGTTGAAGAAGCTCCAACAGAGATGGTACAAGAAGCAGAGCCGGAACCGAATACCCTAGAGGAGGTGGAGGTACCGCGGTGTGAAAACGAACCAGTCGCTGTGGCGGATTACGAGGAGAATGTCGAGAACGATCAACAACAAGTGGACACCAAAGACAGGGAGAGGGACGGGCCGATAAAGCAGACTGACCCTGCTGACGGATTCGTCGGGGATCCTGAAGCCGACAAGGAACGCGTTGTTGGCCGTTTGTGCTCTCTTTTGCCACGAGCTCGTGAGTCCTTCCTGAAGAAATACATTGAAAGGATCACAGATACGAAAGAACTGCGTGGCGTCAAGAAGCGGTATGAGACGGCCAGTAACGTGCGCCAAAAGATTCTTAAGGGCTCCATTAGCCGTCCCTCTAAGGTGCAGCTGGATTTGGTCAGTGAATTGCCGGAGCTTCGCCGCACTCTGAATGTTCTCAAACAACATGAGAAGAAGGAGCAGCAGAGACTGACGCAGTTTTTCCTGCAACACCTCGAAGTAAAAGAAAAAGAGGAGGAGTTGGCGGTGGCGATGGCGGTGGAAAAAGAAGAAGAAAAAGAAAATGAGACAGATGAAGGGGAAGCTCTGCCATTATCCACGGAAGAGAAAACTCCGGCTGAGGAGAGGCATAACAGCGGTAACGGGATGGGGGAAGCTGACCCCTCCATGTTCCGTGCGCCAACACCCACTACCCATGTGATGGAGCAGGCTGGAGGCTCGGAAGCGAAAGTGCAAGCAGAGGCAGCAGCACTGTTGTCTTCACAGACAACAACACAATTAACGGAGCGAGCAGATGCGGGGAGGGTTGGAGATGACGGTACCCACCCACTGGGTTCTAGTGGACTGAATGGCATTACGAAGGTTCACGATGAGATTTTGCCGCAAGCTTCCCAACGAGGAGAGAGTGATGTGCAGGCTTTTTCTGTTTCCAGTAGAAGCAGTGTGTGCGAGTCTGCGACCGCCACGGCAGCGGCCACCTCTCCAGGTGTCAGTCACGGTGTTGGTGTGAGTAGCAGCAACAGTAGTGAAAAGGATAGAGGGCAGACACCCCAGAGTGTCATTGAGTGGTCTAGAGTGAAATACTTCAAGAACAGTGTGCGCCTGGAAATCAAGGCGGTGATACCTCCCCAAGAACGGAATCAACAAACGCAAAATAAGAGGAAAAGTTCGAGCCCATCTCAACGTCGGGATGATACTGCTGCTAATGCTCGCAAGAAGAAGAAACGCGCGGGTGCAAGGAATCGAATGACAGGAAAATCATCGCACTTGGTGATGGAGGAGTTAAAGTATGTTCAGCTGCATATGCCTTTTTCTGGTGGAGACGAGACTGCTGAGGTTTGTGAGAAGATCATCGATTCAGAGGAGTTGGAAACACGAGCAGCCACGGTGCTTCGAAGAATCGAGAGGGAATTTCAGTACATACAGCGGCACCCCGTTCCGCGTGTTGCTCTCGCTGGCTCTCGCGTATTGCGCAGCGGCGATAGTAGTAGTTACTCTTCTTGGAGGGGTGATGGGAGAAGCGAAGATACAACGATTGCCGAATGGCTCGTTCTTGTGTCCCCATCGGACGGGCCACTTGCAGGACAGGTTGTTCGCGTCATGGTGGCATTTTCACAGCAGTATCCGTTTGTTCCCCCGCTTGTCTACTCGACGGTGTTCCTACCGTTAACATCGGTTATGGTGTCCGAGAGTGGTCAAGCCAATACGCTTCGTCTGCCGTGGGTGTGCGCCACTTCCTCAGTGTGTGGAGGTAATGGCGTTCCCTATGTTAAATCTACTGTATGGCAATCGCACTACACCATGCACGGCTTGCTGACACAACTACAGAACTTCTTCGGTGAAGAGGCGTTTGCAACGTCCCGTGAGGCGCTTGGTGAGGAGCTGTACCGCCGCAGCGTTTGGGAGGCGCGGCTGGCGTGTGGGCGGCTGACAGCGAACTATCTTGCAGGTGGGGTGGACGGTGAGTTTCCCTTTCGTACGGCGCTAGAGGTGGCGAATGGTCCCTTTCTTGTTCTCTCCGCCACCGATGACAATGATGAATGCGGTGAGGCAAACAAAGAGGGGGTTGAGGAAGTACAGGAAAATGCAACCCCTCGAAACTCTGCAACCTGCTACTACGAGGAGGGAGTGCAGGGCGCTATTCATGGTCCGTTTGAGGGCTGTTGGGGTCACTTGCTCATGATGACTCCCACAGAAAACACCATTGGGGGTGTGAAGGAAGAAAACGATTCAACAATGCGGGGAGTCGTAGGCCCTGTTTTATCTATTCGCCTCGTGGCTTCTGCAGGAAAGTCACTACCCAAGTTGGAACTTATTGCTGTTTCTCAGCGATCGATATTGAAAAGAAAGGACAACTGGGCAGAGTCGATTCTCAAGCAGTGCCATGTAGAGGGAAAGGACGGTGATGGCAGGCAGCAGACACTCTCTGGATCAAACATTCTTGCACGGTTTCCTGTGAACCTAAACACTGATGATGAAGGAAGTACTGTTGTGTGTCTTTTTTTTGAAGATGATGGTGAGTCGCGCCCACCGCGTTGCGTGGAAAATGACGAATCACGTCTAACGCGCGTACACCTCCCCACGAACAGTGCCTTCCTTCAAAAGAAGCATGATTTGACCCCATTGGCGTGGGCCGTTGTACTGCGCGTCGCGGACGGAGACTTCTCTACCGCAATCTTCACCGTGCCAGCAGTGGGGAAAGAGACCGAGGAGATTGTTGTAGAATCAGAGATGAGGACTTCCCATGGCATTGCAGCGGTCGTAAAAGAAGCTGCGTCTCTCCACATGGAGTCTGCGAGTATCAATTGCGATTCGTCACTCTTTTGCGTAGCCTCGCTTGATACGGAGGCGGTGACGGAGCAGCTGGGGGTTATGTGTGAAGTGCGTCACCCGGTCCCTTCAACACACTGTTTTGTACCGGAAGAAGTCGTTGTGCTCCCCAATGTGGTTGTCGAGGAAGGCGTATTTGACGTGTACTTCCCCCCGGCATACAGTGGGAAGAAGTTCTTCATAAGTACTACGCCTGTTGCGTCCTGTACACTTTTCTTGCCCCTGGCGAAACCAGATACAGCACTGCAGGCAGAAACAATGAGCCGTCTCAAACTCAGCATCACGCAGTTGCACCGCAATCCAGACGCTTCTACGGCGTATACACCACCCTTAAAGGTAGCTGAGACGCTGCGTTTCTTTGTTCTTGCGTTAAGCGGCCTTGCGAGGCAATGGGCGGAGCTCCAGGGTGCCACAGAAGAAGAAAACGAAAAACGAATGCATCAATTGGAAACCGTGTACACGCGCATCTTGTGTACATTCGCGCAGCTTACCCGTGAAGAGACCGCGTTGGATGAATTGTGCCGAAACATATCCGCTACCAATGACCCGTTTAGGCTCTCACGGTCTCTTTGCAAGGCTTTGTGCAGAACAGGGGGGGATGATGAGGATGAGGAAGAGGGAACAGCTCTTGTGAAGTGGATTTTAGCATCCTGGTACACATGTACCGTGTGCAGCAAAACGGCAAACGATGCTGCTGACGCCAGCTCTACAACTACCACAGGAGCGATCAAAACGAACTGGGTCGCCAACACCACGAAATTTCTTAGACACTTGAACGAGAAAGGGAAAGAGAGCCTGGTGCCCGAGGCTCAGTTGCACGCCAAGCTTTGTGGTGCTGCCATAATAACTGAGTAAAATCTCGTATTGAGTCTGAAAAGGAAAATTGATTTTCTTTAAGATGTTTATAACGAAGAGTGAATATTTTTGCTTCAGGGTAGTGAACAACTCCTTTTTTTTTTACCCATTTTAAGACATGATTTGACGTCTGGCGTTCCCCCCCCCCCC